GCTGGGAGCATTCCGGGGGCGGGGGGGGCGGACGGGGATATGGAGTGTGTTGTTTGCGGGGAGGAGAGTGCGCAGACCCCTTATGTGACAGACTGTGGGCATATTTACTGCTACTACTGTTTGAAGACGGCATGTCTGCAGGATGACTCCTTCTCGTGCCCCAGGTGCGGGACCTTCTTCGCCACGTCCAGGCGGTGGGTGCCCGGGCATTAGGGGGTTGGAGGGTGGAGCCTCCGACGCGGAGGAGACCGGTGTACAGATTGGAAATGGTGGCCATCGAGCAGTGAAATGTTGCCAGCTCCTTGCCCTTGTGCGGGGTTTTGTACAAAGCTTGTTCTACAGAGAAAGCTTTCATGGCTACTCATTCCGAAAAAGGAAAGCTTTAGGCGATAATCAACTTCTTGAATCTCCGTGTTAACACGTAATTGTTCTATCGGGAAATCTTTCAGTCCCTCCAACTATTCATACACTATTGCTCCACGCACATGTCTCCTCCACTCCTGTAAATGCCACATTCTCTATTTCCCCCTCTCCCCTTCAGCTACGCCCTATGCTCTATTTCCCCTTCATCCTCTAGCTCCGCGAGAAAACTGTCCAATGCTGGTTCCTCCCCCAGCACGTCCCTGAGTATATGACACGGATCCTTCCCACCCCCGTGCACTAGCATCTCTTTCCACAGGCGCTCGCCCGCCTCTCTACTCCAGGGGTCTTGCACAAAGAGCCTCTCCCACAAGTGGGAGGCAAAGACTCGATCGTACAGATACCCGTAGTATCCCGCCCCGTACCCTGTCAGATGCCCGAATCGAGCATGCCAGACCGCCCCCTCCGAGTGCGGCATCTGCATCACCTTCTCCTGCACCGAGGCCAGGAAGGCCGAGGTGGTCGGGTCCTCCGCCAGGGGCTGCGGTCCGAAGAGCTTCTGATCGACAAGGGAGTATAAGACCTGGATCTGGGTGTCCAGCCCCGAGAACTCCCTCTTTGCTGCCCGCAAGGCAGCTGTGAGTTCGGCGGGGATGGGCCGTCCCGTCTGGTGGTGGTGCGCGAACTGGGCGAGCACGCGCTGATCCCAGACGAAATACTCGAGCAAGTGGCTTGGGGTTTCCACGAAATCGACGGGGGCCCTGGTCCCCGCCACGTGCTGAAAGCGCGTGCGGGAGAGTAAGGAGTGGAGAGCGTGCCCGAACTCATGGAAGAGCGCCTCCAATTCGGCATGCGTGAGAAGGACGGGCCCGGCGGGGTCGCACGGAGAGAAATTGCAGACCAGGGCCACCACGGGGAGCTGGTAGGAGGAAGCCCCAGCGGGAAGACAGCCACAGCGGACCGTGAACTGCGCATGGTGCGTGTACTTAGCCTGGCGGGGATAGAGGTCTAAATAGATGGTTCCGAGCTGTCCGTGCCGGGGGTGGAGCAAGACCACTTTTTTCAACTTCGACTCAGCGGGCGCCCAGGCCTCTGTTTCGTCGAGAGCTACTTCCCGCAGCTCTATCCCGAACAGGCGCTGGGAGAGAAGAGCGAGTCCTCGTAGGCAGTTCTCGAGGGACAGATAGGCGGAGACACCTTTTCCATCGGTGCTGGCGCCGTGGCGGGCAGACTTGACAGCACCCATATAGTAAGACAGGTCCCAACTGTGAAAATCCGCGCTGTCCCCCCAACCGCCTTCGTCTTCCTGCTTTGCCCGTTGCAAGACCTCTAACTCTTTCCCCGCCTTGGCTCGGACATTTTCGGCCAGGGCACGAAGGAAACGGTCCACTTCCTCGGGGCATTTCGCCATCTTGTCGGCTAGGAAGCGATGGGCGTAACTTGGGAACCCAAGCTTCCTGGCCAGAGTGTCGCGCGACTTGATGAGACGCGAAAGCACCTCCAAATTCTCTCGCGGACTCGTATTTACCTCCTGATACATACGCCGCCGCAAATTGCCGTCCCGCGCGTACCGCAGGACGGCATTGGCGACGGCTGTATCCGTGGTGAGAGTGAGGAGGTGTGGCGGCTGCCCCGGCGGCTGGTGGGGAAGTATCACGTTTTGCACGATCTCCGAAGGAATCTGCGCAAGGATATCAGATTTGCTGACCTGGAATGAGCGACGGCCGAGAATGAGGTTGTTGCTGAACATAGTTTCCAAGCTGGTGATTTCATTCAGAAGCGCCCGCACTTCTTGTCGCTCCAAATCGGGCAAGTGAATGCCACTGCTCTCAAACTCCGCCTTTAATAGCTGAGCTGTCCGACTTCCTTCCTCATCTAACGTCGCAGCCACATGAGGATCCTTCACCACTGAGCACACGGCTTGATACAAACCAACGTCGGTGTTCAATTCGTGAATATAGCCTGACAAACCCGCGAAAGCCTCTTCAGCGGCTTCCCTCCAAGCTTCTTCGGAGTGAACATTTCGAGCAAGCTCCGCGGCATCGATCGCGATGCAAAGAGTGTTTGAAATTGCGTCCATGTCGCGGATGACATCAACCCCCGCTGGGACGCGCCCTGTGAGAAGGCCGTGCTTCAAATTCTCGCAGCGGCTCACAGACTCCCGGGCCAGACGCAGAAAGTCCTCTGGGTGACGAAGGCCTGTCACTCCAAACAGGCCTGGTGTTGCCGGGATCACAAACGGGGCGGCTGTGGAAAAGGGCTTTGATACGCAGGAAGCCCTGATCGAGTGATGTCGACGCCATACTCTGGCTGGTGGTGAAAGCGTGTACTGAAAGCACGCTCCAAGGGTCGGGATGCTGGGCGCATACTTGTTCCCAACTGACAACATTCTCCATCTTCGATACACACTCGCCCGCGCCATGACCGGTCTGTAAGTTTTTTGAATAAT